TCACTGCCTCCATTTCTTCCCCTTCTATTTGCCAGGAGGTGATGGGACCAGTGGCCATGATCTTTGTTTTTTTGATCTTGAGCTTCAGACCATATTTTGCGCTCTCCTCTTTCACCCTCATTAAAAGGTTCTTTAATTCCTCCTCACTCACTTCATGGATCACTGCCTTGCCGTGGCGAAGGGGCTTGAATAACTCGGAGAAGCTATGAGCTATGCCGTGCAGGGCCACCCAAGATGGACAGGTCATAGTGGAGAGTTTTGACCAAACGTGATCCACTCCAGTATGCCTGCCAGGAAAACTCCATGGACAAAGACAAGAGATTAACCTTAGGGTCCCTTCCAATGCTACAATTCTATGATTCTCCCCACGGTGAATTATTTAATGGGACGTGAGCTTGGTGCTCTTACTGAAGTTCTTTCCACATTCCAAGCACTGATATGGTTTCTCCCCTGTATGAATTCTTCGATGGACCACGGGATTCCCCTTGGAATTGAAGTTGTTTCCACATCACAAGCATTTTAATGGTTTCACCCCTGTATGAATTCTTTCATGTGAAGTGAGACTTCCTTTCCAGGTGAATCTCTTTCCACATTCCAAGCACTGATATGGTTTCTCCCTGCTGTGAGTTTTTTGATGGGAAGTGCGATGGGAATTTCGACTGAATCTCTTTCCACATTCCAAACACTGATACGGTTTTTCCCCTGTATGAATTCTTTGATGGGAAGTGAGATTTTCCTTTTGGTTGAATCTCTTTCCACATTCCAAGCACTGATATGGTTTCTCCCCTGTATGAATTCTTTGATGGGAAGTGAGAGACCCCTTGGAATTGAAGCTGTTTCCACATTCAACACACTGATATGGTTTCTCCCCAGTGTGAATTCTTTGATGGGCCGTGAGATGCGCCCTCTTACTGAAGCTCTTTCCACATTCCAAGCACTGATATGGTTTCTCCCCCGTATGAATTCTTTGATGGGAAATGAGATGGGTGTTCTGATTGAAGCTCTTTTCACATTCCAAACACTGATATGGTTTCTCCCCTGTATGAATTCTTTGATGGGAAGTGACACTTTCTTTCCGACTAAAGCTCTTTCCACATACCAAGCACTGATAGGGTTTCTCTCCGCTGTGAATTCTTTGATGGGAAGTGAGATTATCCTTCCGAATGAAGCTCTTTCCACATTCCAAGCACTGAATGTGGAATGTGGAAAGAGCTTCAGTAAGAGGGCGCATCTCACGGCCCATCAAAGAATTCACAGTGGTGAGAAACCGTATCAGTGCATTGAATGTGGAAAGAGCTTCAGTCAGAAGGGCCCACTCACTTCCCATCAAAGAACTCACAGTGGGGAGAATCCCTATCAGTGCTTTGAATGTGGAAAGAGTTTCACCTGCAAGGAAAGCCTCATTTCCCACCAAAGAATTCATACGACTGAAGCTCTTTCCACATTCCAAACATTGATATGGTTTTTCCCCTGTATGAATTATTTGATGGGAAGTGAGACTTACTTTCCAGGCGAAGCTCTCCAAGCACTGATATGGTTTCTCCCCTGTATGAATTATTTGATGGGAAGTGAGACTTGCCTTCCAGGTGAAGCTCTTTCCACATTCCAAGCAATGATATGGTCTCTCCCCGCTGTGAGTTCTTTGATGGGAAATGAGATAGGAGCTTTGACTGAAGCTTTTTCCACATTCCAAGCACTGATATGATTTTTTCCTGCTATGAGTTTTTTGATGGGAAGTGAGACTCCTCTTGGAATTGAAGCTCTTTCCACATTTCAAGCACTGACAGAGTTTCTTCTCAATGGGATTTTTTTGATGGGAAGAGGAATAGAAGCTCTGACTGAAGCTTTCTCCACACACCATGTAGTTATATGGCTTCTCCACTGTGTGGATTTTGCAGTGGTCTCTCTTGTTCTTAATTTCCAATTCATCAGCACCTGTGACAATAAGAGAAATGGATTAGAGCCTTAGGAAGAAACTGAGCCCCAGATTATTGAACAATGATAATCAATGCTTGTGAGAGAGAAAAAAGAGAAGGGAGTTAGACAATTATTTATTTATTTATTCATTCATTTATTGATAATAATTAGTATTATTAATAATAATAATACCCTGCCCATCTAGTTGGGTTTCACCAGCCACCCTGGACAGCTTCCAACAAAATATTAAAATACAATAATCTGTCTAACATTAAAAGCTTTCCTAAACAGGGGTGCCTTCAGATGTCTTCTAAAAGTCTGGTACTTGTTTTTCTCTTTGACAACTGGTGGGAGGGCGTTCCACAGGGCAGGTGCCACTACCGAGAAGGCCCTCTGCCTGATTCTCTGTAACTTGGCTTCTCGCAGTGAAGGAACCGCCAGAAGGCCCTCTGCACTGGACCTCAGTGTCCAGGCAGAACGATGGGGGTGGAAACACTCCTTCAGGTATACTGGACCGAGGTTCTGATTTGAAAGAGAGGTAGAGCTGGATATTATATGCATACTGATGAACACCCAGGTCTTACTACAAGGTTCAGTGTCTTTGTATTAACTGACATATTTATAGGAACCTGAGGTCAATAAAGCCTGACTCTTTTCTGGGATGGATTTTGCTTTGCCCAATCATGGATTCTTCTCCATCTCCAATGTTAGTTTTCTCTTGAGTCAACCAAAAACCCTGACAGAAGCTGTTTCAACTTTCCTAACAGCTCTGAAGCCTAACTGGAGGGAGAATATGCACAGACAAAACAGTTGATAGTCCTCCATTGGGGAGTTAGAATCCTTGATGCTGTAGATGGTGCTGTTGAGCTCCATCCAATTACTGGAGGTTTGTCACAATACTCAATATCAAAACAGAAATTATGAAGCAAGAGGGAGTCTTACTGAGAGAGTCCATGACCTCACGATTCTCCTCCATGACTTCCTTATGCAGAGCTCTCTGGTCAGGATCCAGCAACACCCATTCCTCATCTGTGAAATGAACAGCAACATCTTCAAAGCACACTGGACCCTAAAAGAAAAAGGTTGTCCTCTTAGACAGCATGAAGAATATAAACTGTACACTGCTCTGCTATTTTCTGCCTGTGAATTGCTGTGTTGTTTTAATTGGATGGGTTTGCTGCACATTTCAATTATGTGAGCTTGTTTTAACATTTTAATGGATTTTTTGTTGTCTATTTTAATGATGGGTATTAATTTTGTGTAATAGGGTGGAACTTCAAATCCTTCTCTCTGTGCAAGCATTCCAGCTTGCCAGATGGAAAGATCCCCACTCCACTCCCCAATGCGCTGTTCTTGGCGGCGGGGGGGGGGGGCTCCCAATGCCCTAAAGCCAACTGCAAGGGGTGCATGGGGGCACAAGGAGTGGGAGGAAAGGGAGCTGAGCCCCATTGTGCAACTGATGTGGCTGGCTAGAGGACTCCTGGCCACTGCTTAGAAGCCTGTCTTAGCATTCAACAATAAATATATAAATAAAAGTGCAACAACATACCGTATTTTTCACTCCATAAGATGCACTTTTTTCCTCTTAAAAACTAAGGGGAAATGTCTGTGCGTCTTATGGAGCGAATGTGTGGTCCCTGGGGCTGGGGGCGGGGAACCCGGGCTTCCCCCACCAGCCCCCAAGCTCTGGGAGCGGAGGCAAGGCTGCGTGCAACCTTGCCGCCGCTCCCCGACCTGTTCTGGGGGCTGGGGTCGGGGGAAGCTCGGGCTTCCCCTGCCCCAGCCCCGTGGCTAAAAACAAAGCCAAGGCAGCACGCAACCTCTCCAGCCAGGAGAGGTTGCGCACGGCTAAAAACGAAGCCAAGACAGCGAACCCGGGCTTCACCTGACAGCTCCAGAAGCCTGTCCGCTGCTCTTTGGGGCTGGGGTGGGGAATAAGATTTTTTTTTCCCCTCCTAAAAACTAGGTGCGCCTTATGGTCCAGTGCACCCTATGGAGTGAAAAATACGGTAAATAATACTAGCAACACTCGGAAACCTAGTTAAGGAGAGGTGGCTGTTGATTATTCACAGCACACAAATCTTCTGGAATGGCATGTTCAGACTTTGTTAAGGGCAGTTTCACAGCAGCAGGAGGAGGGGGAGAGATTCATTTGGGCCCGGAGGCACCCAGGCAGCCCCACCCCTCAGCCTCTTTCCCCACAAGGCTTCTTCCTCCTACTTGATCTGGTTCCACAGCCGCTGCTTCCCCTCCAGCACCATGAAAAGATGGAGGAGCATGTCTTGATGGCATCATTTGGTCACCTGTAAGTAAGAAGGCAAGTAGGAAGACACAGGTGCATGCTTCTCTCAGAGGTCAAGCAGCACGACTCTAACTTCAGGTGGGCCTTACGTAAAGTCTTGCCTGCTGAGTGCATTTGGATGTTTGTACTCATTTCACATTTTCATGCTACAAAAATGGATCTCCACTCCTTGGGGTTCTTGGGACTCAGCTACACAGCCACAAATAAAAGGCTTTAAGTGTGTTTTCAGTGCAATATGCAATGTGACACTAAATGACGGTGGTGAGCCTTATGGAAAAGTCAATGTATTTTTTAAAAAGCATTTTCAGAACAGTTTTTATGTGTGTGTAGACTCCATGTTGGGCCCAAATGTCTTCCTCAAAAGAATTCAAAGAACCCATTATATTAGTTTCAAAATCAATAGCATGTGCCAAAATGTAGAAAGAACTCATCAGTCCTTACCCAACAGCCTCTCTCTGGTTTCCCACAGAGTCCTGAGGAATCCAAGCCCTTGTCTGCAAACAGTTCCTTTCCCTGAAAGAGCAACAAGGATTTAAAACAGGGAAGTTGGAGAAGTACTGGAAAAGGAATGGCAGAGGCATTTCTTGGATGCTTTCCAAAAAAGGATGGGATTTAGGGATGCTCTCCCTCATGTTTGGAGCCCCTTAGGAGCATCCAGAGGAAAGTCTCTCTCACCTGCTGCTCCGCCTGCTTCCTCTCCTCTGCCTGACTCAGGAGAAAACCTTCAGCCAGGGCTACTGCCTGGGAACTGGTCTCTGCTCCACATTCCCTCACCCAGCACTCCATCTCTAGTGGAAGGACAGCCAGGAACTGCTCCATGATCACCAGGTCCAGCATCTGAACTTTTGTATGCCTTTCTGGCTTCAGCCACTGACCATCAAGACGGTAAAATTGGTTGCAAACTTCTCGGGGTCCTTCAGTCTCCAGGGAACAGAGCTGCCTGAACTGCTGGCTCTGCACCTCTGAGCAGAGGGTGTCCTCCTCACCCAGGACCTTCTGCAGCGAGTTTCCCCAGAAACTCCCACTGCTCCCAGTTTTGATAGCATGGCCTCTTCCTGCTTCAGGGTCAGCTGAGTCTTGCTCATCCATTTGTGCTCTCATGAAGCCTCGCGGAGATCCCTTTTTCTTCTGCCAAGTTCTGTCTGTCCCAATTAGAAGCACTAACAAGTCCTACAAAACAAGCGCATTGTTCTGTTATAAAATTGGTATACTGTCAGGAGAAGAAAAATGTTCCCTGAGTAAGCGTGGATGAGTCTTACTAGGAACCAGGGTTGGACTGCACCACAGCACAGACTCTGAGCTTTCTCTAAAAGAAAAAGGAAGACTTTAGCCCTCCTAGAAGTAATGTTGCCATACTAAATGTGCAGACAACTGAGGGCATTTCTGTGAGATGAATACCCCGCTTGTTCCTGCCTTTCAGTCAATGCATGAAGTCAGAACTGCGACTGACGAGTGAGTACCAAATGCATTGTGGACACTAGGCTGTGGTGGGGGTCCTAAACCTGGGGCCCTCAAAAGCTGCTCCCCGTCCTGTCCTCCCCCGCTAAACACACAATCCTTTCCTGTTTCTGTCTCATTTTCTAGCACTTGGAATCTCCAATGTTCTCAAAACATACTACTGGTGTGGGGTCTTCCCTTTTTTGTTCTGAGGGCCAGATACTTACCTGGCCAACCCCCTGAGGATGACGGGGGTAAGTTCAAAGCACGTGGGGGTGGAGCCAAGGGACAGCGCTAAAAAGCAAGTAAAGAAAGACTCATCTTATTTCTGAGATCGTAAGTTGTTTTAAACGGTTTTAACGTGGTTTTTAATGTTGTAATCTGCCCTGGGAACTGAAGGTGAAGGGTGGATTAATGATGATGATGATGATGATGATGATGGTGTGACAAAGCTTAACCCACACACAGCCATATATGCCTGGGGGTACTCCTGAATCCAGCAGGGTCACTTGAGGCTCAGGTGGCCTCAGGGACTAGCAGTGCCCATTTCCAGCTCTGGGCTAGTTTGCCATCTCTGTCCCTTTGGGACTGTGACGAGGTGTCCCTTGTCATCCATGCTCTGAATCAGATTGAATTACTGCAATGCCCTCTGTGTGAAACTGTCCTTGAAGAGAAGAAGAGGAGAGGAGGAGGAGGAGGAGGAGGAGAAAGAAGAAGTTTGGACTTGATATCCCACCTTTCACTCCCCTTCAGGAGTCTCAAAGCGGCTCACATTCTCCTTTCCCTTCCTCCCCCACAACAGACACTCTGTGAGGTGAGTGGGGCTGAGAGACTTCAGAGAAGTGTGACTAGCCCAAGGTCACCCAGCAGCTGCATGTGGAGGAGCGGAGACGCGAACCCAGTTCACCGGATTATGAGTCCACCACTCTTAACCACTACACCACGCTGTAGGAGGACTTGGAAGATGGTCCAAAATGCAGTGACCAGATTATTGGCTAGCTGGTGGGCTCGCTCTCTTTATTAACTGTATTTATATCCCACCTTTTTCTCCAAAAAGCTCTACTTGGCTTACACCCCTCCTCATTTAATCCCCACAATGACCTGAGAACACATTTACTTGCTTTTTTAAAACTGCTGCATTGGTTGTGAGTTCATTTCTGAGCCCCATTCAAGGTGCTCACATTATCTGAAGAACCACCTCCTTCTCTAAAATACCCATTGGATGTTTTTGGATTGGGAGAGGTCTTGGTAGTCTCACCACGCTCAGAGTTTTGGAAGGGGGATGTCCCAAGAGAGGCATTCCTTGTTGGGGAATTCCCTCCCACAGAGGCCACATCTGACACCTTCCGCTATTCACCAAAGCCTCTGACACCGCAGACATGTGGTTTACAGGACCACCCTATTCCTGTGACTGTATTTTGTTGATTTTAAAAATTGCTGTATCCCGCCCTGGATAATAAATGGAGTAGTAGTAAAAATAGTGATAACAATAACAACAAGAACAGCAGTAACACATCCTCAAGAAAGTGGGGAACTTGCCTGCTGGAATTTGCAGAGGTTTTGTTGCCCCTTGAGGTTACAGAAGAAAACACACATCATCAGTACTTGGCTCAATCTGGTTGATCTAAATTTAAATGTAAACATAAATCATCATCTTCACTTTGAGCCTCCCTCCCACAACTCATCAATAGACCAACATTTCCATTAAGAATCACAGATTTGTAGAGTTGGAAGGGACCATGAGGGCATCTAGCATTCTTCCATTTGCAACATGAAAGGGGGGGGAGTTAACCTAAGAGCAACCACAAGCTTGCCTCTCTAGGAGTTTGGCTATGCTATGTTGCTTCTGTTTAAACCATTCAGGAACCAAGGAATCAAACCAAGGAATCCTACGTTGAACACTCATAATGAAACATATATTGCAGATATTCCTGCAGATGTATTTTGCTATTTTTGTGATATACAAATGACATGAGAAGACTCCGTCTAATTATTGGTATCATTCATTACTTCTATTATCCTTGTTTATAAAGTTCAATAAAAAGTTATTCAAAGAAGAAAGGAAAAAGCACGCCCGGGCCACACCTGCAATGTACCTTCAAAGCAGAATCAGACCCCGTGAAAGAGCCATGGCTTCCAAAGAATCCCGGGGAACGGGGTTAGTTCGGAATGTTGGGACTTTCCATCCTCCTGCTGCAGATGTGCGGGACTGTTATATCGCATGCCTGCATTTACATTCCGGCCCTGATTGTGGGAGTCTTGTGAGGGCGGAGAGCTGCCAGGCGAGGTTCCCCGTCCCACCCCCGGGGGCTAACAACCCGTCCTTCTTGCCAGCTCGGAGGCCCTGCCTGCCTCCCGCGGGAGGGAGATCCATACTTCACCGCAGGAAGACGCGCTTCCTTTTCTTCCGACCGTCTTTCTCTACGGATTGCAGGGCTCAGGTGTTCATTTTTTGCCCAGATATTTATGTCCAAATGCTTCTGCCTGGCTTCCCCGTCTGTGAATCATCTGCTTTGTCTCTCGTCCTTTGCACGCCCGTTTCCCCCGGACCCCGAGGAAGAGCCGCGATGCTCAGCTCCCTCCTGCCCTGGGGGTCCCCGCGCACCCCGGCTGCGGCCCCGGACCGGCTCCCCCTCCCCCGGGGGAAAGACTCGCCCTCCGAGGCTCCCGGGAGGAGAGAGAGCCGAGCCGGAAGAGACCAGCGAGGGACCTGCGCCCGCCCTCCTCTCTAGGAATCCGGCGCCAGGCCTTTTCACCCTTCGCTTGGGCTCGGGATGCCTTCCTCTCTTGTCCTCTCTAGGAATCCGGCGCCAGGCCTTTTCACCCTTCGCTTGGGCTCGGGATGCCTTCCTCTCTTGTCCTCTCGAGGAATCCGGCGCCAGGCCTTTTCACCCTTCGCTTGGGCTCGGGATGCCTTCCTCTCTTGTCCTCTCGAGGAATCCGGCGCCAGGCCTTTTCACCCTTCGCTTGGGCTCGGGATGCCTTCCTCTCTTGTCTCTCGAGGAAT